AAAGCGTGCAGAGACAGAGTAAATTATGTTTGTGGAGATCTGCAGCCGAGAATGTTAATAGTAAAAAAAGGCACCTTATTTTGACTTGGACATTTTCTTCCTTTCAGATGGAAGCCATACATTTCTGTTTTAACCTCCCTGTTGTTCCACAATGCTGGCTTTGTTCCTGAAACCTCTGACGGTAACAGCACGGCCTCTGCTTACCTTAAACGACTATACACGCTGCAGAATAGAGCCATCAGGCTCATTTTATACATCAGATGAACTCTTACATTGTTTAGTTTGGTTTTTTCAGTGCCCTCATTAAAAGAAAATCACTGCACCCCCCTGGTGAATTTGGTCTAGAAGCGCCACTGCTTCATGAGCCCATTACTGTGGAAATACCTTTACTTACTTTCTAGGTTCATTGCTCTAGGTTTCCTTAATCAAACACACTTATATGATGTTTCCACAGAAACACCAGAATCTTGGCTGAAGCTGATTTAAACCACAAAGAGTTGAAGAAAGTAAACAAACTCCTTTGAATACAGTCGCTTATCAGGAAACTGGCTCTCAGCTGTTCAGCAGGTGGAATTCACTCCAAAAAAAAAATTCTCCTCTGAAAGCAGAGATCTACAGCAAAGAAGACCAGAATAATCCCATGGTGAGCGTAGCTCAGTGCCACAGAGATGCTGAATATGATCCGGGCTCTTTAATGGGTGAAATTTGTGTGTTGTGGTGTTTTTTGCTCTGAATGTCCAGTAAATTTTCTCCATTTTGAGTCAAACATGGTAGTTTCCTGTTGTTTAACCAAAATCAGTAAAAAACCCTAATGAATCCCTTTGGTTTAGATGTCATAAGGCTGAACTTTCAACTATGACTTTACTAAAACCTCTGCAACATTTATCAGATTATCTAGGCTGCATGAGTTTTTCGTTCAGGTAACATCCAGAGTTGGCTTAGTGGTTTTTAAAGCGTTATAGGCTTTTATTCATGGCATTTCTAAAAGGCTTATATGCTGGAGAATGCACATTTTTCTATAGTTCATGATTTCTGAAATGATAGCAAATGCTGCGATTCTTCCAATGAATCCTCCCTCTGAGGTGTTTATTTTATTCTGATCACCTTAATACCTGCTGGGAAAACCTTCATTAGATTTGGTCGTTATTTTGAGCACTAAACTTCAGAAGTTCCTGGGGGCTGAGAGGTGAAGACATCAGTTCATTGGACGAGCTGAAAATGTGTTAAAAATCAACAGTTTTTCTCATTTGTCATTGCTGTTTTCTCTCATTTCTTTGCCAACTAGACGAAGAAACTTAGAAAATAACTTTTTATACAACTCAATAATAGCTGAGCTCAGAACTTCAGGTTTTTATGGGATGATTAATTTTTATACCTATATTTGATGCAATCAACTTAACTTCCTGAGATTTGTAGCTTGAGTCCAGCTTTTTTTTATTCTTAAACATTATGGGACCACTTCTGTGTGGATTTATATTAATATTAATAAACTAATTCTAAACATTAAAAGCTGGAAAATTATGTTTTGCATTAAATACATTTGTGTTTCTGCATCATTATTTACAGAGAATCAAAACATCATTCAAAAATTAAAGAGACGACAGAATAAATATCTGATGTAAGCTTTACTTTCAAATCCTGTTACATTTAGATCTGGCAAGTTGAACATAAAATAATGTGAAACAAGAGAAAACAAAAATACAAACCCCAAAAGAAAAGAGTACAAATGATCTATTTACCAGTTATCGTCACAACCCTGTACAGCCTCAACAATGGAGTAATAAAAAAAAGCTTTGTACAGCACATACCAATCTTTACCAAGTGCCAAACGTTAAGATAAGCTGAGCCTTTTTTTTTCCGATCATGACACGCAGCTAAACTTCAAGCTAACAGGCTGCAGACGGTGCATCCAGATGCAAACCTGGGAGTCCGTAGAGAAACAGGTGACGTGCATTAAGGTACTGAGAAGGTAGTCGAGCTTAAAAGGTCATTGTGCTGCGAACCGCCGGGTTAACCCCCCCCCCCCCCCCCCCCCCCCCACATCATAAAAAAAAAAAAAACAAAAAAAAAAACAGGCAGGATAAGTGCTCAGGGGGACTCTTCTTCACACTCGACCCAAAGGGGTCAGGAGGAGGTGCAGCAAGTCATGATTAAGCTGTGATAAAAGGCAGACGTCTGAAAATAAAAGGACACATTTTCCATTTCCCCTTTTCTACTGGACCCTGACAATTAGTTAGACTCATTCTCAGGTGGTTTACTTCCACCAAGTGGCACTAGAGCATAAAGGATAACTACCATGGTGAGCGAGTGTTGGGAAGGAAGCTCCTTTCTCTCTGGAGACCAAAGAAAGATGCACAGACAGAGAGGAAGGGAGCGAGGGGAAGACGATGGCGGCGGCGCTCCCGCAGCGGGACGTGACGGATTCAATCCTAACATCACATCCGGCTTTGGTCTGAACGGTGTAAGATCTTTGAAATCTCTGATTCAACAAGACGGGAAAAAAAAACATAAAAAGAAGCAGCAACGGTAAAAACAGACAAATAAAATGAAAATGAGGGAATTTGGCTTGAAGAAGGAATCAATAGAGGAAAAGCTTTCAGAAAGGGAAATATCTGAACCACGCTGCCGGATGTCGCCTCTTCTCAGCATCAGATTCTCATCGTGTAAAAGTGCAGCCCTGTGCAAAATTGGCCAGAATGGTTTAGCCTGGGACCTTTAGTTCCCAGGAGGGGGGAGGCTCGACCTCTGCAGTCTAATTCCTGCAATTTGTGTTCATTGCCTTTCTCTGATTTCACAAAGGTGCAGCCTTTTGCATCGCAGGTAAAGAGCAGAAACGTGTGGGGGTGGGGGGTGATTGAGTCCCATTATGGAAACACAGAGGGTCCACAACTGCTCTAAAAAAACAAACAATAAAATAAAAGGTTTAAGTGCTTTTGGCTTAAAGAGTAACAATAACGAGTGCAATTAAAACCCAAAGGTTGCCAGAAGGGGAAGGAGGTCAGACAGCGGTACCACGTCTGCCTGCTGGACACAAACCATGGCTTCTCCTCATCATCAACGGCTGCTCTGTGAGCGTTGGTAGAAAATGGTGAATATGATGTAAAAGGCTCAGTAATTAAAACAACAACTGAATATAAAAACAGAAAAAGACACAGAAAGGCCACCAGACACACCAAGGTTCTCTGTCTTTAGCAGAGCTGTCGTCGCTCCTCGTATCGCATCTTTTTCATGAACATAACAAAAATACATTCATTCAAGTCATTTTGGAACAGTTTTTTTTTTCCTCTTTTGTACACAAAAATTACAAAAAGCTCCAAAAAGCACCATTGAATCGGCCTGTGGCGACTCCAGCTGCCGGGCAGCAGGTCGCCTCCATTCTCTCATAAATCTCTTCTACATGTGGGAGCGTGATCCATAGGTCTGCATCTATGCTGGGCTGATATCAAGCCGGTCTCAGAAATGATGGCGGAACGTGGCAACACGGATCCAGGCAGCCGCTGCAGGACAACCGGCAGGAAATTGTCCTGCTTCCTAAAGCGGGGAAACGCTGTGAGGTCGTACTGTACTGTGCAAAAGTTTGGAACTTTTTTCCTTCAGGCTGGTTTTTTATCCTGTTTCTGGAAATTTACGAAGGTCTTTCCAGCTTTTTTCTTTAGACCTTGGCTGATTTTCCTCCTATTTTTTCTTTTCAGTTCTACAGCCTCACCAGGAAGGTAAATGAAAGACGCAGATGCAATGATAACAGAAATAACTACAATATGATAAAAATAATAAATGAAAACCATAATTTTAGTCCAGGCCTGTTTCATTAGTTTATTTTAGTCATTCTGTTAAATCATGGTTGAAAAGCAATGTCTGACTTTTGGTTCTACGTTTTCATAGATTTTTCATGATTTTTTTTTATTTTCTACAAACCTTTTTAGTTTGTGTTTAATTTTTTTGTGAATGCTGATGGAAAAATGGGTGAATGTTAGATTTTCTGAATATTAGAATCCCCAGATTAACCAAGGAGGTATTTTCTTTCTACCATTAATTGTTTAGAAATCAGAAATTCTGATCAGCTTGTTTCAGAGTATCATGAATTAGAGACGAATTCCTCTAGTATCAGCCATGATTAGTTTAATCTGTGATTTATAATGACTTTGTCAGATTCAAGTTGTTTCTGTGACCATTTCAGGTTTCTCTTTTGTTAAACGGGGAGAATCAACATTTTTATCCATGGGTGTATTTAGTAGGAAAGGCAGAGGTTTTAATAATCTGCAGTTATGCTTTTAACACCAGGTTCTCCTTGTGGAATCATTAGCTGCTCTGGATAAAATCTTTTCAGAACACTGCAGAAAATGTAAATCTAAGAAAGTCCTTTTTTGTACGTAGCTGCAGTGAGGGGTATTGCTATAATTTGTTGTTGACGTGTTTGAAGGCTGCGTGCTGCGTTTAAGGCCCGTTCACTAAAGTCTGTAAAGCAGGTCGAGGACCCCGGCTCTGAAAGATTTACTGCTTATCCACCTGGGAGTGCAAAAAAAACCTGCATTTATATTTAGGTTCTCTGATAATAAACGCATCTTTCTCCGTAATATTTCAGACTGAATATCTTCCATATTTACATCATCACAGCTTATTCTGTGTTAGCTTTATAAGATCCATTTCAACACATTGATTCTGAGACATAATTGAGATCAGTCGGCAGCAACGTGCGTCAGGCCGTCACCGTCGCTCGAAAAGAAAAGCAACTTAAGCGGATGGAAATGGGGGAAGGGTCCAAAACTATGTACAAGCTTGATAAATAAGTAAGTGCATGGTCTGAGGCGTCGCTTTGGAAACATGACCTTTCAGATGAAAGAGTCCTCATCGCGGCATAAACTGGAGTTCAGCTTCCTAACGACGTCACAGCTAGCTGAGACAGAGACGGGCATGCCATTCCGATGCATAACAGCAAAGGGACACGAATGCACTAAAATTCAGCACTTGCAATGTTTGTTTTGTCTGTTTTTCTACGTTTTTCTCTTATCAAACGACTGAAGGAAATATCTATAAAACCAGGATAAGCGTCATCGGGTAAAGCGCCTGGCTTCAGGTCATTCAGATGCTTACAAACAGAGCAGAAGGTGATAGATTGTAGTACTTGTAGTAATAATTCAATCGATAGAACTGATAAGAAAAGCAGCTTTTTGATATAAATGCATCTTAGCATGTACAGCGTTTTTCCTCTTAGAAATGTTTTAGTAAGTTTGTCTGGTCCAGCTTATTCTGCCGGTCTGATTGGAAAAGACGTTGCTCCCGCTGCAGTGGTCTTTCACACCACTGTCCAAAGGGGGGGGGCAAACAGTTTTGGCCCTCTCCATCAGTCCCAGGTAGGCCAGGAAGGAGTGTTTGTGGGAGGAGGGGCAGGGGAGGGCGAGGGGGGACATGTCCGGCCGCCATCTGGAGTGGAGGTGTGAGTTGAATGTGAGGCGGCTGTTGTGGGTGAACAGGGTTGTCAGGGGGATCAGGTGGGCGTGCTCGCCGTTCCTGTACCGCTCTGGCACGTGGCGGGAGGAGGGGGCGAAGAGGGAGGGGCTGCTGCTGATGCTGGTTCTGCCGGCGGGCTCCGGCTGGCGGGACGCGGCCAGCGTCAGGGACAGAGCCACGGACTGCAGCGCCTGAGACGCCGTCAGGCTCATGAGGGGGCTGTTGCTACTACTGCCCCCGCTGCTGCCTTCCACGCCCAACAGGAAGCTCTCCTTGGCCCCCTGCAGCGGTGGCTCCTCCCCTCCCGCCTCCTCCTCCTCCTCCTCCCCTCCGCCCAACCCCTCCACCCCTCTGCTCTGGTGTTTCTTGAGGTGGCGGCTGAAGACGAAGGGGTGCGTGGTGGTGAAAGGGCACTCCTGGCACCCGAAAGTCTGGCGCGGCGCATGCTTCAGCTTCTTGTGCAGGTTGAGGTTGTCCTTGCGCTTGCAGCTGTAAGAGCAGCGGTCGCAGTGGAAGGGCCGCTCGCCCGTGTGCACGCGCACGTGCTCGATGAGCTTGTTGGCCGTTTTGGACAGGTAGCCGCACTGCTCACACTTGTAGTGGTTGCCCAGGCGATGCCCCCGCATGTGGGCCTCCAGCGAGGCCTGGTCCGGCCACAGTCCCTGGCAGATGCGGCAGCGGTACTCCATCTTACAGTGCGTCTTCAGGTGGCACTCCATGGCCGCTGGACGATTGGTGGAGTAGATGCAGAAAGGGCACCTGCTTAATTCAACGAGAGGGGAGGGGGGGCAGAAGACAGCTGAAGGGAAAGTACATCCACAACCATGTAACACAGCTTGACTTTGATTAACAGGAAGTGATGAGGAGGAGGAGGAAGGATAAAAGAAAACTGTCTGGAATGTTTGTGGAAGGTGGTTTAATGTTAAAGGGATGGAGGCGAGCAGGCGTAGGGGGGGGAGGGGGAGAAGGATGGGAGCAGGAGGACATAAGGGGAGATGAAGGAATGAGTGGCACTTACATTTAAATAGCACCTTTCATCTGCTCTGGGCCCCAAAGCGCTTCACAAACCCTGCAGAACAGAATCACCTCAGAACAAATCCTCAGAATGATCAAGGCCTCACTCCCTCCCTGGCTTACAGACACAAACATCTGTCTGCAGCTGCCTGTCTGCCGTCATGGTCAGAGTTTACACACGATCATGGTGGACATGGACGTCCTGCCTGCCATCTTTTATCTTAGCTCTTCTGTTTCCGATTTAAGGAGCAACAAAGCAGGAAGGGAAAGCGCAAAGGGACATTATTGGGCGGCTGGACTATTTTAGTGTTACTATCCTAATATTAATAAAACTGATAAAAACTTTCTTACATCCTTTCATTTTGGTTAATATAATTAGGTCTGAGGCTAAATGGCCCTCTAAAAAAAACACCTCCTCTGGGATTTTAACACTAATTAGCTCTATGATTGTCAAACATATCAATACTGAAACTCTACAAAGCTAATCAATCCTAAAGACAAGTCACTTTGCTATTTATGTTGTTCATTTCCCATTTTTTTGCACAACAAACTGATAATACTTCAGATGCAGTCAGATTGTTTTAATAAATATTTATTTGCACACTTATCTAACTAGCATCTGGGATTCTGTTTAAAAAGCATGTTCTGTGTTTAGACTGAAAAAGGTGCGTTTCTAACCTTAATGAATGAGTATTGACATTTTTCTGTATATTAGGGAAGTTAACAAATGATCGATTTACAATTAACTGTCCATTACAGGTTTATGTGATTACAAATTCTTCCATGCGGTGCTGCTGTATTAGGCTAAACATATGGAACAGGATAGCAGGAGTTTCACATCTTTTTTATACAGAAACCTAATAGGTTTCATCTCAGCCTTCTTTAGGAGTTTTCTAATTTTACATCTACTTCATCTTTGTTATGATAAATCTGAATTATTATAATAATTTTCTTAATAAATCTATAGTGATTAATTTACCATGACATTTATCATATTTGATAGATGCTAAAATAAAATCTGCTGAAGGTCATTTATCTGGCCTTCACATCTAAGCAGATTTACACAACCGGGGAGCGTCTCTGGGAGCCATTTCTAATTATTTCTATTATCGAAATGTCTCTGTGGTTTTAGAAGAGGATCTAAATGGGTTGGATGTTGAGAACAAACCCTGCCACGATGAAGCCGGTTTTGTGCTGTGATCTACTGAAAAGGTCCTGACTTCAAGAAAATGTTCCTACAACATAACTAAGGAAATTACTGTCAACTGAAAAAGGACAAGGCAAGAGATTTACTGTGAGAAAGTAAAAAAGCTGAATAAACTATTTTAGATCCTTTAATTATTTTAGGCAAACCCACCAATGATCGGTGTATGTAAACTTCTGACCAAAACTGTAAATCCTACTTCTGATGGTAAATGTCATTTCTAATCATTTTTAATAACTGGATTTTAGGTTCTGACTACATGACATGGACATAAAAATGCTCCTTCCTCTTGGATTTAGAAAATTTACACCTGGAGAATCATCTTGAAAACATTTAGAGCAGACAGAAGAAACATGTCAGATATTCCAGATGCAGTTGATTTACCCAAAAAACGACAACATGAAACCGCTGCGTGGGGCTAGTGAGGAGCTTCCACTGCAGACATGTCCTAACCTCTGCTTTTGCCCTCAAACAGACGTCCGTTTGCAGCCTCCTAATCGCCTCCAGTGAAATCCACCCAATCAAACATGCTAACTGCTCTAACGTCTGCACAGAAAAACGTGTTGAACACAGATTCCTGTTCATGACGGGATGAGGCGGCAATCGGAATGATTTTTTAATGATTCTGCACATGCACAGACTAGACAAAACAAAAACATGGTGTATGGTCCTCAGAGCTGCACGTTTGGATCTGAACGCCTGTGTGTAGCAGGTTAATGGTCAGCAGGTGGACTGGTGTTGAAGAGCCTGAAATGGTTCCAAAGGTAGAAATGGATGCTTATTTTAGCTCTTAAAGTGGAGATGGACCGAACATAACTATGGGCAGAAAGTTGTGGCATTAGAAATTTAATTTAAACTGCTAGAGTTTGTATATGCACAATTTAAAATTGAATGTAGAGGTTTGAAAGTGAGTTTGATTGAACCAAAGCTGTATTTAGTGACAAAAACTAAGGGAACGTTTCTAGATCACATTTTTAATTATGTGAAATAGAATAAAACCCATTTTTAAGCATGTTAAACTGAATTAAAACAGTTTTTAATTACATGAACCTGAAATAATTTGCTTGGAAACTGTAGTTTATTGCATTGAAATTCCGTTGAACTATTTTCACTTTCTATTCACAAATTGAATTTACTTTAAAAATCAGATTTATTTTCCTTCTATGGTGAGAGACCAGAGTAATCGAACACAGACTGTCGATCGTATGTTAATACCATGCAGCTGTGTTTAGACTTGGCAGATGCTTACCATCGTTTCAAGCAACAAAACAACAAAACTCTCAAGATTGTATTAAATTTCTGATAAAATGTCACAGCTCAGTGAATGACAGGCTAACTGTAAATGTTAACTAAAGATGCTAGATTAGCATAGCCTGCAACGGGTCTTTCATCATCAGTGTTGCCCTTATAGCTTCAAAGAGACAAATTGGATAAATATTCCTAGATAGAACAGATAGACAGAGACATGCAGGGAATTTCCTTTACAGGAAGCGTGTAATGAGCTGAATAAAAACCTGAGAGGTTTGCTGCCTGTCATTTGACACAATTCAATCTGTGTTTGATTGCTCTGGTCACAGAAAAATCTGAACTTTAGAACCGAAACTGAAATGAGTCTGAAGTTTCACTGCAATAAAAATATTTTTCAATCCAAATTAATTCAGTTTCAAATTTATTAAATACAGATTGTATTTTGATTTGATTCAGTGAAATTAAGTTTCAAACAAATACATTTCATTTTGAATATTGTTACAGATTCAATCTGAGCATCTCTGATGGAAAGTTTTTTGCTCCAACATGCCTTTCTACCGGATTATGATAAACAAATGTTTAGTTTTTTGTGCATTAAGCATTTTTTTGTAACTTGAACCAAAGCAAAATTTTCCAGAAATGAAGACTGCAGTAGGAACCTAATGTGAACTCTTGTAAACTTGTCTGATTATCTTTCAGGGTTGCGCCAACAGATTTAATATAATCAGCCCCTTGTCATGCCAGTCCAAGTGTCTGTATTTCTGCTGGAATGTAGATTTCAACAGATCTTTGGCACGGCTGTTCGCTGTGGGCAGAGGGACAACGCACCCTGGGGGGAAGCCCATTTCCAGCTCCTTTTCCACTCTCCCTTCTGTTCAGAGGAGCCGCTGCGGACCCACAGACCGCTGTCTAATAAGTCGGACCTGCCAAGGGAAGCTGTCAAGCAGCAAAACTACAGCTTGCATCGTTTGCTTTTCTGGCAGCAGATAATGAGCAGAGGAAGTGAGGTTAACTGATCTGAGCCACATGGCTGAAATCGCCCTCAAATTGACCGTACATCTTGGTTTCTGTCGTTTACAGGTGTCATCTGTGAGGCTCTCACGCTTCCCTCTTTTTTTTTGCGTTGTTGTGTGATCAGCGCCGTTTGTCTGTTTGATCAAAAAGCTGGTAGAGAGATGCACTCATGCCAAAGAGGAAACAATCTGAGGTTTTATACGGGACATGTTATCCTGTTTTAGTCTGAAATAACCTGCTTTAACCGCAAATTAGCTGGGACTCAACTATGGTAGTTTGACTAAATGTAGCAGGATGGACAAAGCAAAGTGTGGAGGAGTCGAGCCCTTCAAATATATAAAAAAACTGTATAAACTGGTATAAACTGTATAAAGTGCAGCTACCTTCTGCAGCATAGAGAGGCTGGCATTAAGATCCTGGAAAGAACGAAACTGAACAGCTTTGTTTTCTCTTCAAATGAAATTAAGTAGAAATGACATCATCTAAATTAAGCTGGGTATACACTGTGCGATTTTTTCAATAGTTGCCTGCAGCCACAGCTCAAACCTGCGGTTTCGTCGTACAGTGTGAGTTCACAGGTCATGATGTTTGTTTTCTTACTGTGCGGCCCGAAGCTCTGATGCGATCCACCTGCTCACACTGTAGGTCTCAACACCACGTCCGCCTCAGCTCCGCAGTGAGATGGCGCTACTCTGACTCGTCTATCCGGAAGCCAAACGAGTAGAAGAGGAATATGAAGCAGACTAGAGTGAAACGCGCCGCCTTGGCAATTTCTGCAATTTTGTACTGAAAGCTCTAAGAAGAAAAGGTGGCGAAGTATCTGGACAAAGACCTGGCTGAGCAAACATGGCTACTACGGTCTGTACTCCATTTTATTCGCTCCCTTGGCATGCTTTTCATCTGACAGGAAGAAGAAGAATCATTGTTTGCGCATGCCCACTGAGCCATTTGCCCCCGGTACAGTACATGATGCACGATCAGGCTGAAAGTCGGCCAGATCGGAAAATTCTCGCACGAATGCAGAATCGGCCCAAAAAGTGCAAAAATACAGTGTAAGCCCAGCTTTAGGGGCATGGAGCTACATTGTTGACTAAGTTTATTCATAACAACAAACAGAAGAAAAAGATTTAAAACTAAAAAGAAATGTTTAAAGCTACAAATTTAATTTTGTTCCATTTTTGTCTGATAGTTCTTCTATTATACTCTGAGGAGTAAAATGTGCTAAGAGGAATAAGAAATTCCTTTTCTTTAATTAGATTTGTGTTATTTGCTGATAGCTACATAAATATAGGACATCGTTATTGTTCGAAAGACATCTCAATTTCCCACACTTCCTGAATGCAACACCAGGGACCAGCAGTTTAAAACGGGGGGGAAAAAAAGTTTGAAACATTTCTTTTCTGTTTCAAGAGAATCTATTTGTCAAAAGAATAAACTTTTTGGCATCGGTTTAGCTCCATATGACGGTTTCCAGAGTTATTCCAACCATAGTTCTAGAACAGACCAAATCCACCTGCTGACAGTCGGTCGGTGCGGAGAGACTCATCTCCACTGAAGCGTTAATTAAGGCCTTAAAATAAAAAGATAACCTGTTTTAACCAGTTTTTGGGTAAATCCTAACTTTTTGGAGAAATAGAACCATAAAGATCCAGAACCTGTAACTGCAGGCTGAGAAAGAATCTACCTAAAACTATAGAAACGGTTTGGACATCGCTGATCTACATAAACCCAGGCTTTCAGTTCGCCTCAAAGATGAGACAAACAACACTAAGAGAAGCTTGGGTAAAATTTCCGGAGAAGGAAGTCGGTCTGGAAACTCTTCCCCTCAGATCCACTAGATGGCTAAGAGCTGATCACAGCTGGGTGATCCAACAGAACCTTCAAAACCAGTGAAAATGTGTCGACCCAATAGCCGCTCGTGGCATTTAGTTTGAAATATTTGCTGTAAAACTGTGTGTTTCGGGGTTTCTGCATGTAGTGAATAAAACGAGGATGGAGAGGAAGGAGCGGTGGAGGTAGGAACCTGTGTCTGTACTTGCTTTCCTTACTTGAGCCCTCCGGAGGGGACGGTGTGGCACTTCTTGTGCTCCAGCAGCTGCTCGGGCGTCTTGAGGAACTTGTGGCAAACGTCGCATTCAAACATCCGCGTGATGAGGTGGATCTGGAGGTGCCGGTCATACATGCTGCGCGTTTTGCACACAAAGTTGCAGAAAACGCATTCGAAACCTGGAGGAACAAAACAAAGTGAAGATTGGGACAAACTAGAGGTCTGGTTGGTTTCTGGGTTTGACTGTGCACCTGAGGCGATAAAGATCATTTCTGTTATTCTATTCAATTAAATTCAATTCAGTTTATTTCTATAGCGCCAATTCACAATACAAGTCATTACAAGGCACTTTCCAGTTCAACCAGATCATCCAGTCAGCTTGATTCAAAGTTTCTATCTAAGGAAAACCAGTTGATTGCATCGACTCATTGACTCAAATACAATCCCTCACACTAAGCATGCTTGTAGCGACAGTGGAGAGGAAAAACTCCCTTTTAGTAGGAAGAAACCTCCAGCAGAACCAGGCTCAGTGGGAGCGGCCATCTGCCGAGGCCGACTGGGGTTCAAGGAGACAGAAGCAGAGATACAAAAAGCAGCTGTAAAAGGCGGCTTCTAATGCATCGTGTGATAATATACATCTTGCATCATTTGATTGTGTTTTGTTTTAATCATCTTTACTCCTTCCTCTTTGTGTTCATTGTAGCTTAGTTAAGCTAGGTGAGTTTCACTAGATTAGTCAAGAGTTTTTTTCTATAATAGATTTGACTTGAAGCTGAATAATTTATCCCTTCATTTGTTGTCCTAATACACAGCCAATAGAAGAGACAGTGGGAGAAATCACCTCCTGAAAGGAGATGATGACTTCGCTTGTTTGGTTTGAAATAAAAACAAAATCTGATATTTTCTGATCAGAAAAAATATAAATAAACTTAACCGGATGATTCTGATGAAAGTTCCTGTTGTTGAAGCCACAACTAAAGGAGAGACACTGCAATTGGTACAGGGAGCTGAGCTTTAGTTAACCTGAAATATGGTTACATTTAGTGTGTGTGGATCAGAGTTTAATTACTGATCTGCATTGATTAACATTTATCGAGATGTTTTTTAACTCACTGGTAACAATTAGGTTTCCTCACCAGGCCTCAAATAGTCATGTAAAAACTATTTGGCTGACTTCAAGTGTCATCCAGCTATCAGGCACTCCCCTGATAAGGATAAATCTAAAAGCTGCAGGATAAATAATGCTTTAAGATCAATAATCATCAATAATAAGGGGTGAGGTAGAAAGCCTTGATAAAAAACCCTGAATGCTGCACTTTTATTTGCACAACTCTGGCAATTTTTTCTGTTTTAAAATGTTCCCATTTAAATATATTTTTATTTTACACTGTAAATAAAAACTATGATCATGTTTTCTTTATTAATAAATAAAAAAGATCTTTATCTTTTAGAAAAACAATCTGGGAATAAATGTTTTCTAAAAAAGTTTTTATATTTACGCCACATTGACGACCCTGGATTTATTTTGTGCAGAGAAATCCAGATCTGTGCTTTCCTGAAAGGTTTGGAGGTGACAGTGGAACCAAAAAAGGTTGCATGTTTCAACCTATTTCTAAAGATCTCTGTTGGCTGAAGCTTAAATGTGACTAAACCTCCTCTGCAGAGTTGTAACAGAAATGAGATTGATTCCAAAGGTTAAACAATCAATAAATAATAAAAGTATGTGATGCCAAGATTTTATAAATGATAAAGTGAATCAGTTTCCAGATTTTCTTGCCTTTGTCCGACTTGTCCTCGGCTCCTGATTCCGAGTGACTCCCGGAGCTGGCCTGGCTCCCTGCGGAGGAGGGCGGTGCAAGCAGGTTTTTGAGCTCTTCGTTACCGCCGGCGACGTCGCCGCCCTCAGAGCTGTTGAGTGAATCGCTGAGGGCTGAAAGAGACGATGAGGTGCTCTTGGTTTCACTGAGGGGGCTTCTTGAATTCAGACCTGGACAGAAGAGGGAAGAATGGTTTCCCAGTTAGATGACAGGACGGTGAAACCCATCAGAGCTACTGAGGAAGACGGAAAATCAAGGGCCAGAGAAACCCAGAAATAAATCTGTGGGCTGCGTACTGTGCAGACTGCCGTTGTTATCTGCATCCACTAAGACACACACATGCAGAGTAAAAGCAGGCCGCCTCAGCAGAGAGCTGTGCTGCCAGACCAATCAAGATGCAGTGTGCTTTTTATTGATCCTCTGCTCTAAGTCCACAATTCAGCGAGCAGAGAGGGGGAATTAGTGGGTGAGGGGGCGGCGAGGAGCGCGGGTCATGGTCGAGGGATCTAAGATGGCGGGAGCATCTCGGGGGCACAGTTCAAGAAAGGGCATTCGCTCAGGAGGGAGGAAGGAGCCTGGAAATGGTTGACCTCTCTTTTTAATACGGGCTCGGGTGAATGTACAAACGCAGCGGGTACGCTCTCAGAGACGGGCAAATTATTCTGGGATGGAGGATGAATGATTGCCTTCGATCAAATCTCTATATGTAGCAGGTCATTACAGCTTGGTTTTGCAGCTTTTTTTAAATAAAGCTCCCTCGATGCAGGAATCATCATCTGCATTTTTACCAGCCTCAAAAATTAGCTCAATCTGAAGATTTTTTAGAAACACAACAGATTCGACCAGATGAAAAATAAAGAAATATGAACCGAAATGGACCAAACCAACGAACCAAACGTGAATCATTTTTTATATGATCTGGACTTTGACTAGAGCATTACAACAGTATGCATAGAAGGGTACTGTGGGGGTGAGGGCCCTTACATGGCTTCCTTATCTATTAGGGGCCACAGACCAAAAAAGGCTGAAGACCCCCATGTATTTTAAGAGTCTGGGGCTGGAAAGCGAGCTCAAATCATGCCACCCCACCCCCTTGCTTGTACAAGTTGCTTTGCAAGTAGGTTGGTTGGCTTGGAGCTTAGTGCTGCGCCTTACAGCTCTACCTGGGGTTCACCTGTCAGAAGTTCAGTGGTCAGGGTGGTTCTACGTGCTTCAGCTGGTTTTTCTTAATAACAGGACAGAACTGGTGCATGCTTTGATTCGGGTCGGTTGTGTTGGTGACTCAGTGATGAAGAATCAAACCAGCTGCAGCAGCTGCTCATCCTTCGTGTGATTCATGGCATTTTGACTAGGGGTGTAAATAATAATCGTTTTGTATCAATGCGTCGATCCAACAACCGACGATCCGATGCATCGATACGACCGCAAGAGAATCAATTTATGTTTTTTTTTTTCCTCGGGTCTATTTTTATCCATTTGCTCCTGGGCGTAATTATTCCTCCCGTGCTGCGGGGGCACTAAACCTATTTTACCCTCCTACCTCGCTTCCTGGTTATATTCTTACAGCAGTGTGTTGCAGTGAGCTTGACACAGACATTTTTTATTTATGCTCAATATTAAAGCGTGGTCTGAGCTATACGCTGTGGGTTTAGTCCGACAACGGAGGGACATGAGGGCCAAAAAGAGCGGAGATCCAGGTGGAAAAAGCGTCCCTGCGTTCTTGTGCACCTCGCTCTTTTAGCGGGTCAAACTTAACGGTTTCTGCAATTTCGGTCAAAAAACAAAACAACCCGGCCTCCTGTCTGTGGCACTGTTTGCGATAAGCAACAATTTGGGAGAGGAGCAGTGGAGCGTCTGTGGAGGGGGCGGGGACATCTGGAGCCGAGGTATTTCATTGCACTCATTGCACTGATTTTTTGCAGTATTTTTTGATGCAAGGCCTTTCAGAATCTATAACGCAGGGGTATTATTATTTTTCATTAAATGAGGTTTTAATAGGAATAGTGGAGTACAACTTTTCTACTTCTGTTATTTGCTATTGTTTCTAAAAAAAAATGCATAATGCTATTACAGCTTTCATTGACTTATTTCAAATTTGAAACATTGTCTAGCTTGTAAAGTGTAAAAAAAAAAAAAATGAACCAATTAATCGTATCGTGGTGTATTCTTGAGTATCGAAAATAATCGAATCGTTGGGTCAGGAAATCGATACTAAATCGAATCGCCATGATGGGTGTGATTTACACCCCTAGTCCTGACCAACAGCAGGAAACTGGGTCCTGTTCTGCCCGCTCCGAGAGCACTGGAATGGATTCCTGTTTGTGCACTACACCGTTTATAAATATATTTCTAAGTTACTCGTCAAATATGAACCAGGTAGACCCCCCCACTTCCAGTTCCAGAATCAAACCGGTTAAGGAAGCATTTAACTGCTGCTGGGCTTTAAAACCCTGAAACATGGAGAAACCACAAAATTAAGATCATTTTACATAAAATGTGCATTTACCCACAATTTCAGCTAGAGAGACAAATTTGCCTTACTGATAAATAAGATTATCAGTTTGAAATAAGAAAATAACTCTATTATCTTATTTCAAGTGCCTAATATCTAATTATGACATTTTAATCCCAGAAACATTCATTCCATTAGCAGATCATCATCTCTACCTGGTTAAATTTAAGGCAAATGCAAGTAAGAAATCTTCACTTATTTCTAGAGGATATTTTGCAGTGTCCTTTTAATCGTCCTGCAAAAACTGATCTAAAAACAAGTTAATGTTTCTTAAAATATGTGGATTTTATTTAAATGACTATAATGGGCTCTATCAACAGCTCCACTACTTCATGCCCTAAAGGCAGCTCCTTTGTTTCCTGTCTTTCTCCACTGGATGAACTTATTAGTCCAAGTGTGTCTGGCCATCGTCGTTATGGTTACCAAGGTCAGGCACACCTGGATTAATCAGTTGGTCCAGCAATGACAGACAGGAAACAAAGTAGCAGCCTTACGTTCAGGAAGTAGAGGAGTAAAAGGCCATTAAGCAGGTAAATAAAGAGGATCCACCGATGGAATGATGGTAATCAGGCATCTGAAATAAGATAATAGTTTAAAGATAGTTTTAAGATAAATAGTGTTTATTATAAATGTTTTCCTACTTTTCCTATAATCGACTGTATTCACAGTAAACCATGGCCTGTGGAGCTCTTTGGTTTTATTTTCTCAAAGGTTTGATGAATCATTTCTCTCTGCCAACTGATGCTTTTTAATTGTTTTCAAAATGGCCTTTATTGCAGTAATTGTAGGCATGCTAATCTAAGAGCTAAAGCGAAACGAATAAAAAAGTGATGAAACACAAACATCCTGAGAGCAGGGCTGCATTTTTGACAGCAAGGCAAACTGGGAGTTTTTTAGTCTTCACTGATGTGGAGCTGAGAGGATGTTTTAATGATGGCTTTCCCCCAGAAGGGAAGAGGTTTAAGCTAATTGTGGTTTTTGTCCGTATAACGGTGGTGTTTGTCTCGTGTGAGGCAGAGATAAATGCCACACCAGGCTGAGAGGCTGAACCCTCGTCCCCAGAGTGGCGTCGTAAACTCAGCCCGTCTCCAAAGGACTCAGGGCCTATTGATCCCCCCTCCCTCCCTCCGCCCCCTCCAGGCTCAATAAGGACCAACCTTCTCAGATAAACAAGGCCACCATGGAGTACGGAGGACTGTCTGGACTGGACACTCTTACCCCCCACAACCAGGAGCAGAAAAAAACCTCAGCAATAAAGTGAACAAAGGCGTTTTAGACGGAGGAACTCTAATCGACAATCTGAACTCTAAAAGTCTGCAGTCGCTCGATCAGAGGCTGCTTGTTTGTGACCTCTGACTCTGTGTTTTTAAACTTCTGCACTAAACGGGCCCTGATGGTGGTTGGAGACCATCTTCTTCCACAGAAATCACAAACATGATTTGACTCCAGCAGATGCTTCCAGCACAGTGAATGAATTTATCTGGGACTGTATAAGAAACAAAACAATTTTCAAACCCTCCAACCTAAATATCTGTTGGATTCAAGTCTGGACTTGGACTAGGCCAGTCTGAGTCTGCTCTGATCCACAGGATCTCTGGTAGTGGTCAGAGGAGAACCTCCTCCACAACCTCAGCTACCAACAAACATCTGCTCAGTATGAAGCTGCCAGCACCGTGTTACTATGGAGACAGAGGGGTTACTATGGAGACAGAGGTTTCAATCTTATTCAATCAGTTTTCATTGTTCCTCAAAACATAAAAGGACCGCAGCCTGAAGTGACCCAAATCCAATTTTTTTTGCCCATATGCGACCTGGATCTGATCTTTTCATTGCAGTCTGAACAACACAGATCCGATTTCTTCCAATCCGACCCAGGCCACTTGGCTATTTGGTCCTGAATCCGATACGAATCTGAGCTTTTCAACTGCGACCTGTGTGTGAACGGCAGGTCAGATTCATCCGACCTGAATGCCATTAAAACCCGACAAAGGTCACTATTCTGCTTCTTGCTACGCAGAAGCAGCAACAAAAATAACAACCACGGAAGATGATGATGCGGAGAGCAGTATTTATGTTTGAACATATTGAAAAGAATGAGTTTTTATGGTTAGAAAAGACAGCTAGATGCACGCCAACAATACCATCCATGTTTACTTCTGCCTGTGACGTCATTGCGTCCTCTACTGAGCATGCGGGACACTTGCGTTGTATGACTGCAGTTCACACAGGAGATCACATACATGTCGCATTTATTTGGAAATATGAACGGCAACACAAAAAAAAAATCGGATTTCACAAAAAAAAATCAGAATTGAGCATCAAGGCCTTTAGTGTGAATGTAGCCTTAGTTTTCCACCACATGACCTTCTCCATGTAGGCCAGTATGTTCATAGTCTGCAGCCCAAAAGGCTCCTAACAATAGTTTGGATGGAGACTAAGATGAAATTAAACTGCAAAAAATGAAACATAGGCGTCTGATTTTCTTGAAACAAGTGTAATTTTCATTTAATTTGAGCAGGTAAGTAAAACATTTCATCAACGGAATAAGAAAAAAAAAATAATCGATCTTATTTCTAGTCTATAATATCTATTTTATGCTAAGAGCGAGTACCTGTTTAAATGAAAGGAAAATTTACTTCTTTTTTTACTGCATTTTACATCAGTTCTCTCAGTGCAGGTAGACTTCTGGAGGTAGACCCAATTGTTTTATGGGTATTTCCTTTAAGGGGGGGTCATAATAAAGGGTTATAAATAAAGATAAATGTCAATATTTGCAGATGTTTGTTTTAAACATTTTAAGGCCTGAATTATATTCCTTCCACTTACAGTTATAACCAGGGGTGATTCTAGGATCAGACCTTTATGGGTGCTGAGCATCCACAGCGTTTTCTACATTTTTGAAACTTTGGCTTATCACTGATGCCATCATTCTCTAATGCATCATATCTGGGATTTTTGCCAAAAATCCGACAAGCAAAGCAGAAAGCAACATTTTTTGGAGAAGCATTTTCAACCATTTAAATGTTTTGAACCAGTTTTCATGAAAGGTTCTCTTTTCTGTGCTAAACTGAGTGACTGGGAGCTGGAGCGGTTTTAACTGTTCAGGATCAGTACTCTGATCCCCTAAATCAAAAGGCAGATTTTACATTCCTCATCTCCTGCTCCCTCTGTGTCTCATCTTCTTCTCATCTCTCTGTTCTTCTCCTTATTGTATAGTGAAATTAAGCAAGTAGAAAAGCATATAGATGATTAGGAAAATATAATTAGATAGTGAAGAAATAAATATATTGCTGAAAAATCAGCAATCTTTGCTTAATGAAATGAGTCTAAAATGTTTTAATTATTGAGCAATCGGACTGAAATGTGAACAAAAATCATAAAGATGTTTTTAGACTCTGTGTTTTATCAGAAGGTCTGACAGGAAGGCAGCCTGATCCGCCCTCACCTGCGTGGCCGGTACTGATGTGGCTCTTCATGTCGCTCTCGTCCATACAGACGAAGTCACAGACGCTGCAGCAGAGCGAGAACATCCACTGCTCCTTGTCCACATGACGCGACATGTGGCTGACAAACTGGGCATTCAGCTCCGTCTGGAAATCACACACATGGCAGCTGGACGGGGAACAGACAGCAGAAGGAAAAAAAATGGTGAGAATCAGAAAAAGGAGGCGCTCAGCTTTAGTGTTAGATTTGCCTGAATAAATTACCAAATCTATGCCGTCTGCATTCAATAGAGTTTGGATAAAAACAGCTTCAACTGAGGTCTGAAAACAGTTTGAATAATTATTACTTTCTAATGTAAATTTCTACAGTAGAACAGGAAATAGATCATATCGCTGCTATACTAGATTCTCTTCATTGGCTTCCTGTTAAATCCAGAAAATAATTTAAAACCCTGCTTCTCACATATAAAGCACTAAATAACCAAACTCTTTCTTATATCAGATCTGATTGTTCCTTATGTTCCTAACAGAGCACTTCACTCTTAATCTGCAGGTTTACTAGTGGTTCCTAGAATTTCTAAAAGTAGAATGGGAGGCAGATCTTTAAGCTATCAGGCTCCTCTCCTGTGGAACCAACTACCAGTTTTAGTCCGTGAGGCAGACACCCTGTCTACTTTTAAGGCTAGGCTTAAAACTTTTCTTAAAACAGAGTGGTGTTTGCTTAGTCGCTGAGTGAGTAGAGAGGTATATGAGCCCAGCCCATGGGGAGAAATTCAGTGTAAAACCTGTATTTTTTAGTGTAGTCCTGTTTCTCTGACTGTGACTAACTGGATGTCCTCTCTTCATCCTCTAACATGGCTCGGACCTCATCTGCCTGGCTGTGTGTTTCCTGGACGGGGCCGCCTGTGGAGCTGATTGTCAGTTGCCTTTTGTATCTCTGCTTCTGTCTCCTTGAACCCCAGTCGGCCTCAGCAGATGGCCGCTCACACTGAGCCTGGTTCTGCTGGAGGTTTCTTCCTGTTAAAAGGGAGTTTTCCTCTCCACTGTCACTTTAAGCATGCTCAGTATGAGGGATTGCAGAAGAGTCAATGACAAAATGCAAGCGAAGTTCGTCGCCACAGGCTTATCCAGGAGGAGCATGGCTTGCAAGTCAATGACTGGATGCAATCAACTGGTTTTCCTAACCAATCTAACTGAATTTTGTCTGTAAAGATCACATTTAAGGCTTCAGACTCTGAATTGGAAAAAATAAATAAATAATTTACTAATTCAAACTTTTTCTTTTCACAGTCTCTTATTTTGAAGGATCAGAGCACGTTTCCTATAATCAATCCAAATTTAGAGGCGATGGTTTCAAGTATAACTCCATCCAATCATAAGGTGGCGCATTGATGCTCGCCCGCTCTCGTTTCATCACTCATTGGTACCGCTTGTCAGCTGCTTTCCATGTTTTGCAAATGCTAACGTTAGCATTTTTTCAGACGAAAGCAACGACTTCTTTGTTCCTCTGAGCTCCTTAGCTTCCTTCAGTCAAACCAACATTCTAAAGCTTCAGTGATCATTAATTTTTCTTCTTTTTCGTGTCTGTGTTGAATCTGAACGTAACATAGTGAAGAAGCCATTTCTCCGCTCTACTAGGGAACCTGACTCCAACCTACTGTTCCTATTGGTGCAGAATCCTTTCATGTTGACACTGGCATGGTAACCAGAGGAAAGTGTCTAACGCATTTTGGACCCCTCAAGATTTATATTTTCAAAACTTGTTTATTGCATCCTATTTTTTCAGTGAAATGAATCCCTTTATTCTGCATCAGTCTAGATGCTCTGTTGATGGATTAGGTGAGAAAACTTCATTGTTTTATAAACTGATGGATGGATTTTCTTAACTAGCTTCAGTTCATTATCTGAACTGTCTCCTGGTTGTAATTTTCAGATTCATAATTATACTTTTGTTTCATAATCATGACTTTAAATAATAAATCATGATGTAGAAAGTTGTAGTCATAAATCTGTAAACCATATTTCTGATTATTCATCCCATGATCGAGACTTTTATATTAATTTTCCCGTAGTAAAGATATGAGCCTGAAGCTGCCTCAGAGGGTCAGAGGTCAGTCGGCGGGTCCGGCCTCCTTCCAGGTCTGTGTTTGGTGTGTGGAGCCTACCGGTAGTAGTACGGGCAGTTCTTGCGCTCGGTGGCGTCGGCGGTAACGGCGCTGACGATCTGCTCGGCGTCCGTGTTGACCAGCTTCACGGAGTGGATGGACAGGTGCTGATTGAGGTTTGCTCTGCACTTGGCTGCGTAAGGACACAGGTGACACTTGTATTTCCTCTCCTCTGTAACACACACACATAAACCAACCCCTTCCTCCCTTATTCAACGTGTCGAGGGATGTTTCTGTAAAACTAGACGGTTAAAAAAAAACTAAAAAAATTCTAAACTAAATTTCTTTTTGTTTACACTCGTGTATACAAAATGACAAAAATCTAAGTAAAAACAGAAAATCTGGGTTTTTATTCTTACTATAGAATCTCTGCAGAAACACCTTTCCTTTTATGTAAAAACAAATTAGCATAACAACACGTTTGCTCCCCCACTCCGCCTCCAAAAACACTAACATACAACCCATTTGCCCCAAGGACATGGAGCCAGGCAACCTTTGTGTCGCCGGGGAAACCAAAAAGACCATCACTGTGACATATGCCCCTGCTTCTGCTCTCTGTGGTGTGGCCAAGCTGTTCACAGCCAGCGCTCTCAGATGGCCTGTGTGTGTGTTTGGTTGTGTGGGGACATTCGGTACACAAGTCTCCACTTGTGAGCTCTGGTGTCCCAAAAAGGCTCCATTTATCTGGCGTCCAGAGGAAACGCGCTTTTAAAGAAACAAGTAAGGTTGGATTATTATTAGAATCTGGGAACTAACGAGGAAGAAGAGGATGAGGTTGAATGGATCGATGGTAAAAACGCAGAGTAATCAGGTCACCAGGGAGCCAGGAGGATTGTGTGAGTGTGTGTGTGTAGAGTGGAGCAGTCAGAGCGGCATTAGGATGGTAAGTGTGCAGCATCCTTCAAGTCTGGTAATTAGACAGCGTTTTCCCAGAGAGACTAATCATGGTGGTAATCTCTTTAAAGAAAGGGTAATCTGGTCTGGTCAGCCTCATCTATTTACAAACAGCATCTATAGGTTAGAGGAGGGGGCTGGAGCAGAGACCCACCTGTGTGCAGGGACAGGTGTCTGGAGAGGGTCTGCTGCCTGCCGAACACCTTCCTGCAGATGGGACAGGGGAAGAGCTGCTCGTGGAGCTTCCACTGGGCCAGGCCGTTTCCGGGCTCCCCATCCTCCTTCTCCGGGTCTGAAACACAGACAGACGTCAGTCAGTCACCGCTCACATCCACCTCGTCCAGAAATTTTTTTCACCTCGGCTCCAGAGGCTGGAAGCTATTTTATCCAGATTTAATGAAACGGATCAAACAAACAGGAGTAAAATCTGTGGTATAAAGAGGTGCTAACAGCATCACATGGAGAACAAGCGTCCCGTCAGCAGGTCCAGGTCGGGTTCTGAGAACCGGGCCAACATGCCTTTCTCATTCGATGCCCACAAAGTTTAATCCAGGGCACCAGATCAGCTGTTAGATCATCTACCCAACCCGCCTCTGTTTGCTATTGGCCTTTCCAGAACTTTCTGGCCAGGCTACCATGTTCTATGGTTCCTCAACCAATGGAACTTGTGGGGGCAGCTGTTACACTCAGGTTCATTTGGGGGCGTCACTAAAGGGGCGTTTCCTGCCTTCACCTGTGTTAGTGGGACGTCAGCAGATGATACTCAGGTACAAATTCACAGACAGAGGTACTGAGAAGCAGAGAGAAAGATGGAAAACTGGGAAGATAACTGATCATCAAGAAGAACTGTAAAGGTTCTCAGTTAGTTTAAAAGTACTTTAGGAGTCTGGAGCTAAAATGATGGTTTCTAATTAATCACAGACTAATGTGACGATTTATGAACTCCTGAACAGCTACGGTGCCTAAAAGACCTCATTGGAGCCAAACTGCAGGCCATTAACTGAAATAACTAATTTGATCTTTTTCCGTGTTTTACCAGAAAATAAATACACAACATTATGATGATAAATCGAAGGAAAAAAACTAAATCATGGAAACAGGAACTTTTCACAGGAACAATACCCCCTAACCACCCCCCTTTCAGAAGCTTAGACCAGTATCGGGTATTGCAGGCTAACAAAAGCCAAATTACCCGTTTTTCAACTTCAATTTGCATGTTTTCTAAGCCAAAACAAAGCTTTGTTTTTTGGTCCACTCTATAAAGCCTCAAACTCAATGCTACTTCTGAGAATCTGAATTTCAAAATCTACCTGGATGGGAAGCGAAACATCTTCAAACTTGGAAACAAAGTCAAGTGGATTTTTTTTTTGTTACTTTAATGGAAACAGGAAGCCTTCTGAAGCTCAGAGCTCCAAGCAGCTCAGTTCCCTCACTGTTAAGGAATCCTTTAAATGATTCCTGAATCTGGATTGTGATCCGGATCTGGTTCCAAGTCGGGAAGTCGAGCCATACCTGTGGTTCACCGGTCAGAGACTTTATCCATAACATGTTGTTCCTTGAATATATTTGCTCAGTCTGACCATTAAATGTTCAGCTTTAGTAAAATACATTTTCCATATTTAATAAGAAATGGGCAAGTTGTTCATGGTATTGGTCAAAGTGTGAGGCACTACCAGCAGAGCGTAAAGGATCAGCTGACACAGAGGAAGGAGTTCCTGCACCTTAGCCAGTTTATTCTATTAATCTACCAAAGGTTTCTTTACTCTTCTGTATTGTTTTAGATAAGTCTGTCTCTCTCTTAAGAGGTGTATTAAATCATATGAGGTTGAATCCAGCGTCTCCTGATGCTCCTTAAACCATCCACTGTTGGCTTCTGTTAAAGTGTTAAATGTCAGTAAAGTGTCATTCTTTGCCATTTGTCTGAAAAAAAGGCTTCAGAGTCACTTCGGGCTCACTAGTGAACCCAAAACTCTGAATCCAGCATCTGAGTGACGCTCGGAGGGCTGCAGTTTAAATGTGTTGTCAGTGCCGACATCAAACAGGAGTCGTTTCCTCTGGAGGCTGAAGGTAAGCACACCCCGCAGCTCTTCCTCACTGTAAGCCAGAAATAAAGACGGCTGTTTGCCCGCGCTCTCAAAGAACTGAAGCTGCAGCTTTAAATTAAATCTCCACATCTGAAAGGAAGAACTTACAAAAGAAAACATGCTGTACTTTTCCCCATTGTGCTGCTCAACCTCCATAAAGTAAATGAAGACTGATCCACAGACGGCGTTGTTCAGACCGCACTGGTCGGCCTTGAGCTGAGCCAGTATGAGATTATGGAAGAAAACCTGTGTTCCATTGATGACAAATGATGTGGTATTTATACAGCTCTGAATACTTATAAATAAATAAAATAAAGCTGTTCTGTTTTTTCATGCGTTTATGGGGAAGACTTTGGGGCAAGTTCCTAAAGAACAGATGGTGGTGTGAGAAGACGTTCAGCTGCTGCTGGACCGACTCAAGCAACCTTGAGCATTTTTTTCTTTATATGTCAGAGAAAATCTTCTTCTTTGACCCCTAAAATGCAAAGCAGCTCAGTTAAGCTGCCTGCAGTTTGGAATGTTGCTTAAATTTGTGTCACGGCAACTTTTATGGGCTTCAGTAAAGATCATCTTGTTATTGTCCAAGTATAACTCTTGGTTGCTGTTTACTAATGAACACTTAATTTGTCGTTTTAAATACTTTGCCCCAAAAACAAACACATGAATAAAGCACAATCATACTCAGTTTTGCTCCCGCTCTATTTTTAAATATGCAGTAGAGGTATTTAAACGTAGTAGAGGATATTTACCGGTATATAAAACCCGCGCCCTAAAGTCCGGTGCGCCTTATGCGTGTGTTAAATACAGTAATGGCACACATAACTGAGACTGCGCCTTTTAGTACGGTGCGCCTTATGGTTGTGAAAATACGGTACATTAAATTGAGATCAGCCGATGACTGAAATAAAAGCTATTTTTTGAGAGCAATATATGCCATTTGAAGTATTAAAATATGAAAATTTAGAAAAAAATTATTATTCAGATTTAAAATCGTTTGGGGTCACAACAGAATTTTCTTAAAAACAAATGTTTATTTATCAGTACACACACATGTTTTGCTAATAATTGTGGGTGCCACTGATAGTAGAGAGAACCTGGTTTAGTAAGTGACGACAGACGTCTGATCTACATGAGCTGAGGTCGTTTAGTGAGAACTGCCATCCTGCACAGCTTCAGGCCCAACTTTGAGGGTTTGTAGCTTAAGCAAACAACTAACAGCAGAATTAAGAGTCCTGATTCAGAGGTGAAGCTGGAGGAAGGCTTGGTCGCTGGAGGGGCTGTGAAGTCAGGCTGCAGGGACCTAAAGCCATGACCCAGCAAATGCACTCATGATTAGGCCAATTAAAATGGATAGCCTTGAAGTGGTTAACGCTTTAATTAGTGTTGCTGGAGCCGAGGGGAGAGACGCAAACAAGACATGAAGGAACGAGCTTAATGCAGACAGGAAAGTGTTGCACTAACTTTTATGAAAACATTTCTACTTTGTCTAAATTGAGAGAAAACACTTCTATCAAGGAATAAAGCAGCAAAATTCAGGAGTAAATATAAGCTATCCAAAATAGTAAACAAAATAAAATATTCCAAAATTCAGCGAGCTTTTGATTAACAAGTTAATAATTTTATTTTCTCCTGATATATCTTAATGTTTAGAGGTTTACCTCTAACTTATTACTGTTACATTTTATAATATATACCCTCCATATGTATTTGTTATCCATTATTATTATTTACAAGTTTAATTTATACTAAAATGGATTAAAAACATTTCTGGGATGTTAAATAATTGGAGCAAGACATTAGAAGCTATTTTTTGTTTCTTTTATGATTCTTCAGAGAATGCCAAGATTGTGCGAAGCAGTAATCAAAGCAAAAGGTGGCTACTTTTGTCTACTACTTTGTCTAATATACGACATATTTTCAGTTGTTTCACACTTTTTTGTTAAAGCCGTAGGGAAGCGGCTGTTCCAACGTTGCATTTCCGAATTCTCTGGAGTGGTGACCGACTTTACACAAGTGAATAAAGTGAATGTCATTAGTCGTTTATAAAGGGGGTAGGATTGTTGTGGTGAAAGATTTGCAAGCAAGTTTGATTGTGGCCAGTGTCTCGGAAGCATCTTGCTAACCAGTTAGCAACTTAGTGCTAGTAGGTTCCCAATGTGAAATTCCATTGGGACCAAGTAGCACTAAATTGGTGACTTAGAAACGACACTGTCAAGGAACGCTATGGACAGAGGAAACATGCAAGAGGAGGAGAGTTTTGTGTCAGAGGTCGTCGATGAGTCTTCTTCGTCATACATTTTTTTATTTAGAGGAGGAAAATGGGGACGAAGTTGTTGTGGAAGAGGACGCCAGGGCGGCAGAAGCTTGGTTTGGTGTAGAAGGTTTACAGCCGTACATGTTTTTCCAACTGTTGCGTATATTAGCTGCGACACATGAATCAAGATCCTATGACCGAAAAACTGTGATTGACAGATGACCGTTGATATATGATTGTCCGCATTTAGGTGTACAAGCCGACATAACTAACTGGCCTGCATAAGATAACAAAAAAATAATAATTTTAAGACAGGATTTAAAAAAACAAAGAAATTTCAAAAGTTTAGGACAATGTTGTCTGATAAAGAGTAAATTTATATAGCTGTTTAAGCCAGAATCCTTTGACATCCAAATATGACTTCTCTACGACTTTATTAACAGTTTTTGTTGCATCTTTTTGCTTCATCTCAGTTTCAATTTATTTAAATTTGATGCATTTGCTTAATAATAAATAATAATAAACTGTTTTGACCAGCTTCGTATGGCCACTACCTGCTGGATTATCTTGGCCCAGGTGGTCTGCTTCTAATAATAATAATAATTGAACTTTATCGATCTCACATTGGAGAAATCTACTTCTGCATTTAACTCATCATTTTGGGGAGCAGTGGGCTGCTATGTGATCATCTTACTATTGGTCATTTCATTTACTAAGCCTATCTGGATATATTTGACAGAAGCGTCAGAGTTTTGGATAAAACTGGAATAAAAAAAAAAAAATCCAACTTGGAAAGAGGAAAAGCAGTAAAACAGGACACAGGTGATAAAGCAGGAGGCTGGATGTAAAGCTTCAACTCACAGGGGAAAGGCCTCGACAAATTAACTTTCAGGACACTGTTGACACCCAGAAGCCAATCAGATTTTCATTAACTGGCAGAGGCACAGAGGAAGCTGGCACAAGCTAATTAACCTCTGGATCTGGAGCAGGTGGAAGCTCTGGGCAGAGCCTTCAGGTCTAGAAAGGCCATCTGAAGGTAGAGGAGCTTACCTCAGCCTGCGAGTCCAACGTCTACAGAGGAGATCATTTCCCTGAGCAGAAACCAGGATTCAGGGACTTTAGTTAAAAAGTACATAACAATGAAGGCCCATAGTGTCTAAGTATTTCTCTCAACTAGTAATGTCAATTAACATTCAATTATTTTGGTTTTTGTTTCACTTTCTATCTCAAATTGTATTCTATAATGTTTAATGAAATTCTATTCGATTAAAAATGCTGACAAAAACTACATCCAAGTTATAAAGATGTTTTATATAATGTAATAAAAGCTATAAAAAAACCCCAAAATGAATTATTTCCATCTCTATGCAGCATAAAGGATAAGTATTTATTTATTTATTTATTGTTTATCTTCCCTCTGCTCCAGTTTCTGTTTGTAAAAATTCAACAAATGTATGAATGAACAAACTTCAATCTACAGAAAGGAAGAAAAGTGAAATATCAACATTTTTCTTTACAATCTCAAAGCTTTTTGAAAATGAAAAGAAAAATCAAGATGCAGCTTTTCTGTGACTGAACTAATATTTATTGGATAAGGTCTGATTCTGCTTCACATGCAGACTCCACTGGTCTCCCAGCACAGGACCACTGGAGTACTTTTTTACCAGCAGGTCTTTGTTTGGTGTCTGAATTAGAGATCAGACGATGCAGATTATTCTGACACATTTTAATCGTGGTGCGACCGAAACTGACTTGGTGCAAAGACAGTCTTGTTTATGTCAGGTAGGGCTAATCCAGCCTTTATTGCCAACTGTAGTTTGTGCTCTGCTAAGCCCATAGAATGAATAAGGAAGAGACTAGTCTTGCATACACCTGCTGGGGGTTGGTGTGTGTATGTGTGATTAGGGGCAACTTTTGGGTTTTCCAGATGTGAGCCAACTCAGCTTAATTAAGTCGACATTTGGCGAATGCCCTGGTTTGAACCCACGTGTTTGATGACATAATGAGCATTTCCTCCTGAATTATGGTCCAGCCATTGGGCTTCACCTTCACCTGCTTCACCTTCATCCCATCTCATCATTTTCAATGACCCCAAATCGACTGAACATCCCTAGAATAAGATTAGAGACCTCCCTCTATCATGATACCTGAGCCTTTTTGCTTCACAGCTCTCTAATTTGAGTTTCTGACAGTTTCAAACCTATCAGTCCATGAAAAGTTTCTCCTTTCATCTGTAAACTCTGGAATATTATAAAAAAGTTAGATATTCAATTCAATTAAAGATAGTCCCAAAGGAAAATGAATTGTTGCAGCAACTCATGGGTTAATTTTTCAGAGCGAAGCTATCAGATTTACTCCAATGTGCAGCCCCCTTAACCAGCGCTGGTCTAGAATAAGATAACATCCTGTTCAGGAGTGATGCTGTGGAACTAGTCCACACATTTTACACCTCAAGGTTCTACTATTTTAATTCTTTATTATCAGGAAGTCCACAATTTATAGTTAAAAGCCTTCAGCTGAACCAAAATGCCGCATCCAGAGTTCTCATGAAAATTAAAGAGATCATATCTCTCCAATCTTCTCAATTCTTCTCTTCAATGGCTTCCTGTTAAATCTAGAATATAACTTTAAACCCTCCTTGTCACATATAAAGTCCTAAATAACCAAGCTCTGTCTTAGATCAGAGATATTATTGTTGCTTATGATCCTACCTGCAGGTTTAATATTGGTTCCTAGAATTTCAAAAAAAAAAAATAGAATGGGAGGCAGATCTAGTTATCAGCCTCCTCTCCTATGCAAACAACTACCTTTCCTTTTTGATAAAGTCTATAATTAGGCTGCTGTAGGCTTAGATTGCTGGAGGACATAGCGATAACTTTTCATCATTCTGCTTCATTCCATTTCTTTTCTTCCATTCTACAATATTTGCTACTTCAATCCCTAACTTTTTCCAAAGCATTCTGAGGAGATTGCAGATTTTCTTTGAATCTTAGCATATTTATTTATTTATTTATTTAAATGAACCTTGATGCTTAGATCTTTTGAAAGGAATGCACCATGAACAACATATCCCCCCTAATAAGGACCACTTGAGCATAAACCTTCTCTTCTTCTAGCACCCCCCCCCCCCCCCCCCATGTAAAAATCTCAACAGTTTTTTAAATATCTTTTCTTGTTAAATACAGGTGCTGGTCATAAAATTAGAATATCATGAAAAAGTAGATTGATTTCAGTAATTCCATTTAAAAAGTGAAACTTGTATATTATATTCATACATTACATACAAACTCATATATTTCAGATGTTTATTTTGTTTAATTTTGATGATTACAAATGACAACAAATGAAAATCTCAAATTCATCATATCAGAAAATTAGAATATTGTGAAAAGGTTCAAAATTGATGGCCCCTGGTGCCACACTCTAATCAGCTAATTAACTCAAACCACCTGCAAAAGCCTTTAAATGGTCTTTCAGTCTAGTTCTATAGGCTACACAATCATGGGGAAGACTGCTGACTTGACAGTTGTCCAAAAGACGACCATCGACACCTTGCACAAGGAGGGCAAGACACAAAAGGTCATCGCTAAAGAGGCTGGCTGTTCACAGAGCTCAGTGTCCAAGCACATTAATAGAGAGGCGAAGGGAAGGAAAAGATGTGGTCGAAAAAAGTGTACAAGCAAGAGAGATAACCGCACCCTGGAGAGGATTGTGAAACAAAACCCATTCAAAAATGTGGGGGAGATTCACAAAGAGTGGACTGCAGCTGGAGTGAGTGCTTCAAGAACCACCACACACAGACGTATGAAAGACATGGGTTTCTGCTGTCGCATTCCTTGTGTCAAGCCACTCTTGAACCACAGACAGCGTCAGAAGCGTCTTGCCTGGGCTAAAGAGAAACAGGACTGGACTGCTGGTGAGTGGTCCAAAGTCATGTTCTCTGATGAAAGTAAATTTTGCATTTCCTTTGGAAATCAAAGTCCCAGAGTCTGGAGGAAAAGAAGAGAGGCACTTCATCCACGCTGCTTGAAGTCCAGTGTAAAGTTTCCACAGTCAGTGATGGTTTGGGGTGCCATGTCATCTGCTGGTGTTGGTCCATTGTGTTTTCTGAGGTCCAGGGTCAACGCAGCCACATACCAGGAAGTTTTAGAGCACTTCATGCTTCCTGCAGCTGACCAACTTTTTGGAGATGCAGATTTCATTTTCCAACAGGACTTGGCACCTGCACACAGTGCCAAAGCTACCAGTACCTGGTTGAAGGACCATGGTATCCCTGTTCTTAATTGGCCAGCAAACTCTCCTGACCTTAACCCCATAGAAAATCTATGGGGTATTGTGAAGAAGAAGATGCAATACACCAGACCCAACAATTCAGAAGAGCTAAAAGCCACTATTAGAGCAACCTGGGCTATCATAACACCTGAGCAGGGCCACAGACTGATCGACTCCATGCCACGCCGCATTGCTGCAGTAATACAGGCCAAAGGAGGCCCAACTAAATACTGAGTGCTGTACATGCTCATACTTTTCATGTTCATACTTTTCAGTTGGCCAACATTTCTATAAATCCTTTGTTTTTATTGGTCTTCAGTAATATTCTAATTTTCTGATATGATGAATTTGAGATTTTCATTTGTTGTCATTTGTAATCATCAAAATTAAACAAAATAAACATCTGAAATATATGAGTTTGTATGTAATGTATGAATATAATATACAAGTTTCACTTTTTAAATGGAATTACTGAAATCAATCTACTTTTTCATGATATTCTAATTTTATGACCAGCACCTGTAAAGGTTCCACAAAAATACATACCAAACATAAACTTAAAATGAATCAATAAATTAACTCTAAAGCAGTCTGTAATTTCACCAGTGATTAATGAATTTGGACACTTCTGTGAGTGAGTAACATCTTGCTCACCATGGATCGGCGCCCTGGTGGAGGAACCGGCCTCTGCGGGGGACGAGCTCTTGGAGCGCGAGTCAAAGGGTGATTGTCTGAAGCACTCATCAAGAAATGAACTGGAACTGAGAGAAGCAGCAGCAATGTTACTGACAGCCACTAAAAAACACCCACTGCCCATCTATTAGGGGCTGTTAAAAAGCAAAAATTGCAGAGTAATTTACAGATGCTGGAGCACAGAGGGAGAAACTGACCTACCTGTTTATTCCCACCATGTTACCGTCTTTGTGGTTGTTGGCTTTGCTTACTTTTTCTGGAAAAAAAACAAAACAAACTGATCAACAAACTGAATACAGCTTAATTTACCCCAGAATCATCTGTTTCTTTGTTTTGTTTTTTCTCCAGCAGACGTCTGATGACAACCCAGACACAAACTCAAAGGAAGAAACAACAACAGCTGCAAAGGATTCACTCTTAAAAAATCTTATTAGGCTCATGTCTGCTGCTGTCGCAGATCTTCAGCCCAACCTGAGGAGAACGATCACTACTGTAAAAGGTTTCAAACCAGCCATGGTTTCTTTATATTCTCCAGATTTTCTTCTTTTTAACACTTCTTTGGATCATCAGTTCTTCCGACTCCAGAACGTCTTAAAAGCTTTTCTTCAGGTAATGATTTACTCAGTTTATTTCAGTTCTTCTATTTGACCTGGACTGCTTAGCATGTGCTTAAAATTAGATATAAAACTGGATTATTTAGGTCTGGAAATAGATTAAAGAAAAGACCAGTCAAAGAAGACGAAGCCTCCTCAGTTTAAACTAATTTTCCTTTGTTAAACTTGGTCGTTCTCTGTAGATTCGGGAAAATATAAAGGAACTGATTGTAAACAAACTGCTGCAGGGAAACATCTGATTTGAAGCTGGTTCGTTAAACAGCTGCATGTTTCATGTCGACCAGACGTTGGTTCATCCCTTCAGTTTGGGAGGAGAAAGAGGGTCTATATGTGGAGTTAACAGATGGATACATTCCTCTAGAAATACGCTGAGTGAAAGAGGCAACAGAAATCCAACTTTGAACTGTTTTTCATCTAAAGCGGGCTATATCACACAAAATAAAATTTCATTATGCTTTTTAACTTTTCTAAAATATTATTTCAGCATCAAAAACTGAATTTCACTCCATCAAATGTTATTCATAAAACACTTTACAACAGCCACAGATTGATTAAAGTGTTGTATAAAATGACTAAAAAATCAATTAAAGGAAAGAACATGAAGCACACCCAGGTAGAATAAAAGATTTATATTTTACAGGTAAACATTGTTTCATGTGTCAAAGGCCAATCAAAACATGCAGGTCTTTGGCCTCGTGTTGAATAGGTGAGAGCAGCTCCAAGGCCAGAGTTCTCAGAGTTTGGGCCCAGTTTCTGCTAGATCCCCATGGCTCCGCTGTTTACATAGAAATGTTCCTTTTCTTTGAGCAATCCTCAACAATGTTTGTTCCACTTGGCCGCTCCACCCATCTGTTAAAGGAGTCCTCCTGATTTCTCCCCCTTGTTATAAACCAGCACCTCTTTTCCTCTGTGATTTTAGCCCAGACAGCTTGGAGACCCTGGCCAGAACCAAACTGGTGCGTTTAGTCCTTAAACACCTGATGGATAGGAAACGGTGCTAAGCTAATCAGACTTGATGCTGTTCCAGCTCAATTCTAACTTGATGCTTTGCTAGCTATTAGTAGTATTACCTTTCATTCACCTGCTTGTTGACGCTCACAATGAGGTCTGTGTTAGATGCTACAAGCTGTTTGATAGCTGCTTCATGTAGCTTCTCACATTGATTTCTATGGCTTACTGAGGCGGCGTCCTAAAATGACCCTGTCTTTCTTTAGTAGTATTTCATTGTAAATGAAAGCTTTCTGCCGTAAAAGGCAACACTTGGTGCCAATTGTATTACCACCCCCTAGCCCTACTGTTCAGATCTACCCCTACATTTGCCCACTCCTCTGAGGGTAGTGAGGTCCCAATTCCTCTTAGCATGTAGGGGTAGCGATCATAATGAGGGGTAGGGGGTATAAATTTAGCAAACAATGGCTCAACATGGAGGGATTCAAAGGAGTGACTTTTACTTTTCGAAGTCAAACAAATCCTTTGGCATCACCATCTCCCGGATAACAGCTTTAGGGTTACAACGGCGCTCTAGAGCTCAGACCGCTTCAGCGGGAAGTGCAAGAACAGCCGCTGAGAGAGAACCAGCCTTGCCCCCCTCTATGTTAAAGAACTACAGTGGGAGATAAGAGCCAAACAGAGCGGGGAGAGAAGCAGGCAGCTGACCAGTGTCTGGACTAAATGTAGGACGATCTACGGCTAAATTAAAAAGTCTTTTTTGAATAACACCCAGAAACCTCTGCTGAGCATTCTGACTTCATCCTTTGTCAACATTATTTCCTCTATCTTCTTCTGTTTTGATGAAAAAAAGCTCCTCTCTTACTGTGGGACGTATCTTCTGTCTGTGTGTATATAAATACACAGTTGCTTACGTACCCGACCACCAACTACGCAGGGAGAATTTTAAAGCCTGACCCCTTTTGGCTTCAATTCCAGGTTGTATTGGTAGAGAGTCAAAGGCTAATAGCTGTAAGTAGGCGAACATTCAGATTGGAGCTAAATCATATATACTTGTGCTTGAAAGTTTACATACCCTCCCATTAAAGAAAATGATACATTTGCATTAGTAATTCAAACAACACAAATCTGAAAAAAAATAATACCAATCATAAATCAATATGTTGTTCTCGTAAAATAAAATATTGATTTTGAACATTTTTAATAATCATTCTAAAAAACAAACTGTTCCAGACAAATGAAAGTACATTACTGCTGTCAACAGGTGCAGAAGTCTGACTGAACATTTCCTAAACATTACAGAAAACACCTGATTTCAGGGATTGCCTCAAAGCGTTGCTGAATAAAGTTTTAGTTCAGGGGCCTGTTTCAATAAGGAAGTTCAACCAACTCTTAGTTAAAACTTGAACTCTGAGTTGACTTATCCTGAGATTGGAAACTCTGAGTTTTGGGTTTCAGAACAGCTGAAATGAGTTAGTTCAATCAACTCTAAATTGACTGACTCTGAGTTAAGCGCGTGCACCACAACTATAAAAAGCCATTATCAATGGAGCACAGATATTACGAGTCACCATGGCAACAGCGTCAGACAAAAAAAGGTGTGCATATTTCTCACCAGCAGAACTGGATGTGCTTATGCAAGCATATGCAGAATTTGAACATGTATTTTTAAAAAAAAGCAACACGGCTGCAGCGGCGAAGGAGAGAGAGTTAGCTTGGGTGAAAATAGCTGCTAGAGTCAATGCGTAAGTTTACATTTTAATTACTTTTATACGGTGTTGGGTGTAATGAATTAAGTTACTTAAGTCATATAAATACTGTAATTAAATTAAAGACTATAAAACAATAGTGGATTTAATATTACATTTTAAAAGGTATATTTAGATTTGAACTTTCTCCCTCTAGTTACACACTTTGGTCAATTTAAAGGTACACTATGCAACTGGTGTTGATTTTCCAGCGAGGCTCCCCCCAGAGGGCGAAAGTAAAAGTGCACTGTCGTAAATATGCACAGCTGTTCTCCTGGTTTCTCCGTCAAGCCAGGCGCGGTGGTTTTGAGCTTAGCAGACAGGCGAACGCAACGAATGACTAATGCTGCGTTCACACCGCAGCTGGCGCGACAGAAGCAGCGAGTTTACATGCAAAGTCAATGGTTGACGCGCGTCAAGGCGCAGCAAAAGGTCCCGCGGCGCGTTTTGAGCAGCAGGCCCAGCGCGTCTGAGCAGCTGAAGCAGCGCGTCGGGTGCGTTTAACGCAGGGAGAGAGACACAGCGCTGATGATCAGAGGCTATGATCTTTCCTCTTAAACAGTTTATTGATGCCTAAATTAACTTAAAATGCAGAAATCTGCCGGCAGAATATGCAGTTTGGATTATTTAGATGAAAAACACCTACCAGCTGCCGCGGTGAACCGCGAGGAGGTGACCAGGCCAGAGGCTGCTGATGAAGGGATCCCTACTGTCGGCGCACCGCTGGTATGTGGGGGTCTGAGCGGCTCCGACAGAAAAAATATTGAAGGCAGGATGATAATCTGAATGAACTGACGGCACTGATTACGTTTTCAGGTGTATTTTCTCATTTAAACACATATTAAAACTACTTTATTCCCACTGATCACAGCAAATATAGCTGCAAGGCAGAGAAAGGATAGTGAAGCTCCGCCCAACGCGCATCAGACACACTTTTGCACCGCGCAGCCAGAGCAGCAAAGCTGCTTCAGCCGCGCGTCAGAACTAACTGGTACAAGCAGCAAAAATGAAGCAGCAGACGCGATTTTGCTGCTTTTGCTGCGTGAACGTAGCATAACTGCACAAACATCGCCACTGTGCTAGCAACGAGAATGCTTTTAACTGGGGGGTGTAGCAGTTCTCGCCGTAAAGCAAGACTGACTCTCACGAGACTTCTGAGCCTGTGGGTGCGGGTCGGTGCTCCTGCAGTTGCAAGTGCAGTATTTCCCCCACAGACCACCAGGGCGGCCGAGAATACCTTTGTTCAACCTGAAATGACTCATTTAATCATCCATAACGTTATGGAACACATTAATTAACTGAAAAATGTTGCAAGGTGTGCCTTTAAGATTAATTCATGCAATTGAATATTGTTTATTTGAAAGCATTAGAAGTGCAGTTTCTTGTCTCTCCTTGTATTGTTCAAGTTGTTGAGGTTGATTTGGGATTTAGAAAGTAATTAATAAGTAAGTAAAACAAATTAGTAATTAGACCAATACTTTCTAGAGACAGTAATTAATACATTAATCTAATTAGACTTGTTGAAGATCAAATTTGTAGTTAGTAATTAAGAACTATTTTAGAGTAACTTACCGAACTGTTATAATATCAGAGGTGAAACTGGAAGAACAGTATTTCATTAAACCTAATTTAGTTTTCATGGATAGGTGCAATCCTGCAGGCATCAAAAGAACATGGCAGCAGCTGAAAATGAAATATAAAAACATACTTCAAGCAGGTAAGCCTTGAGCACATCATGGGAGTAGAGTAGCTACCTGGCCTTACAAACAGGATCATCCATAAAAGGACATCCCATTTCATTCCCTTTGATGCGCTCTACGTGACTGAAATGTGTGCAATGAATACTGTATGTCCCCAAAGAATCAAGGTGTTTAAACACCACTTCCTCTTTAAAAAAGGGGAGGAGACCAAAATAAACTCCGGATTTTCTGAAGAAAACCTGCTCCCGACCAGGTTAGGTTGACAGAGTAAATTGCCATGGTAACTGACTCTGAGTATAAGTTACCTCTCTTTCAGAAACGGGCTTGACTTACTCTTCTTTCTCAGGTTTAACTTACCTCCCTTTCTGAAACAGACAACCCAGAGTTTCCCTCATTTCAGGGTTAACAAACTCAGAGTTTTCACTTAACCTCCTTTCTGAAACAGGCCCCAGGAGCCCCATCAGAGTTGTTTACTTTTTCTGTTTATAAATATATATACGTATGTATATACATATATAGACACACACATATACATATATACATACATATACCTTATATATATATATATATATATTAGGGATGGAACGGTTGATGAAAACCGTCCGAATCGTTCGGTTCGCCTGTCTCAGTTCGGTTCACGTGTTGCATTCGGCTCATGCATTGCTCCTTTTTCTCATAGGCGAAGCGTTTACACTCCAGAGCAGAAGGTGGCGGTACTGCGACCAAAGCCAACCACCAGTAGTAAACAAGAAGAAAAAGCGAAGCAGCGTAGCCGGGTGTAGCAGGAAAAAATCTGTTGTTGTGGAGAATTGTGTGGGTATGGCGAGTGGGAAAGAACAGGAGTTGGAAGACGCGACAGCAGCACAAAACAGTGTGCAAACATTGTGCAACACGTTTTGTTTATGCTAACAGCAACACGACCAACATGTCAGGCTAACAATCTGTCATGAAACGGTGTTTGTTTGGAGGACCCAAATGCAGAGACCAGTTGGCAGAGGTGACTTAAAGTCGGTTTATTTAAGTTCACAGATCCAAGGGCAGGAATCAAAGTGCAACAGAAAACTAATAACGGACCTGAACCAAGGAGACATCAGGGGTAAACCAAAACTACAAGCCAGGGTGAGACGAGGAACACAGAAAGAATTAAACGAGGATCCAGCAAACAGGAACTGAAGAGGGAGGGCTTTTAAAGGGGACCGAGACAAAGAGAGAGCTAACGAGGGAATTGAAAACAGGTGCAGGCAGAACAGAAAAACAGAGCAAGGGAGGACACAAGACGGGAGCAGAGGACAACAAATGGAAAACCAAGAAAAACAGGAACAAACAGACCAAGACCCTGACACAATCAACATATACCGAACCGAACCGAAAGCCGTGACCACAAAACCGTGAACCGAACCGTGGATTTTGTGAACCGTTCCACCCCTAATATATATATATATATATATATATATATATAAATATACACACACATATATGTATGTATGTATATAGCTCTGTTCCATCTATAAAGGAGTCTCACTTTGTGTGATAAATTAAAACACATTTGTGACAAACTGGGAAAAGGCTGTCGGGGTGAATCCTGCAGTAACGTTGCAGTGCTGAAACGCAGCGTGCTGCTCAGAGGTTTCCATACGGACCCTGTGAAGGTTGGAGCTGAGTGTTTGTGCTCCGATCTGAGGCTGAACCCTGGATGAGAGAGAGCGCAGACGTTCGGAGGCGATGGAGTGAATTTCAGAGCTGCAATCATCTCGGTGTTCACAGCGACCTTGCTGCTGATGCGTCTCTGAGGTCCCCCTGCTCTGGGTAATTCATATTGATTGCTCATTGTGTGACAGCAGCCCACTCTGATCTCTGAGCTCCGATGCTCCAAACATCTTCACTGCTGCTGGGCCCACCATGCTCTGGCCTTCCTGGGTGGGCCACCACTGCCCTCTGCCCCACACCCCCCCCCTACAAAAGGCAGCTACCGCCCCCGCACCCGAAACGCCCCACTGTTCGCCAAGGACAGAGGGCTCTTTCCACGTTGCCATGGAGATGCCGCACAGGAGAAATGTAAAGGGGAGGGGGGGAGTGATGAGGAGGGGGACATGTGCAGCCAAGTGTGCTTGAGTCGGCATGTCTGAAAACAAGTCAGGGGAGAGAAGAGAGGAGGAGGAGGAGCGGCTCCTCCAGGGGGGCCCGATGGGCTGAACGGCGACCATCATTAACGAGTTAAAAACACTCCATTTAAGAGACACAAACGGACAGGAAGCACCTCTTGGCTGTGATGAATTAACCTGGAACAGCTGGACCCTACCTCTGCCTCTCTGGGACCTTACAGGTAAAGCTACCAGTAAGTGGACACTTTGAACGGTGGGGGGGGGGGGAACACCTACCTGACAGTTTGAAGAGCAGCTCGGAGGCCATTTTGACCGATATGTCCTGGGAGAAGAGGTCTTTCTGGGGGCAGGCCAACGTCTCTGGGAGGTTACTCATCGGCTCACTCTTCTCACTCGCCCCTAAAGTGCTGAAGGTCGGCAGGTGGGAGGCAGGCGGGGTGGGCTCTGCAGGGGACGGGTCCACCTCCATGGGCTCGGCCTTTACCTTCACCTTCTGGTACTGGGCGTCTTTGCTGTTCTCTGGGGAGAAGAAAACAAGTGCTGGTGAGTATGACGATGTCTTCACAGCGCTGATGGTCTGTAAGACCTGCAGCCGTGGTTGTGGACCCACTGAGGGCCTGGATCAACCAGGATGGGGTCTACAGATCAAACTAATTGATATAAAATCATCTCTTAAACTCTGGTTGTTGATGTTTTTTTAATGCAATCTTTAATTTTGAAGAAATGTTTATAAACTCAGACAACAGTTTGGGTCTGGTCGAGTTCTGTGGGTCAGAAGCTGAAAGGTTTTGGGAACCTCTGGTGGATGCATATATCCAGATGTTCTGCTGACCTGTCAGCTTTCTTCCTTCCTTGGTTACTGAAAACAACGGACCGCACCGCACTGGGCTTCATTTCCGGGAAACAATGTTTTCTATTTGATACATTTTGAAAAAAATAAAAATGTTCTATTTTTACCATTTCAGAATAGAAAATAATTTCAGGAAATAATCATTTACCAAATAAAAAACCTAATTTATTCTCCAGACTGAATCGAGCTCAGTAAAACACCCCAGAGTTAAAAGCCAAACAGTAAATAACATCTGTGCAGATCAGATATCTGTCATTTTTTACTGAAAAGGTCAAACAAAGTCACCTGATTTATTTATTTATAATAATCAAATCGACTAAAGCATTTATTTTAATTCCTTTTAATTAACATCCAGCTGAACAGAGAAACCACATCAACCAGATAAATACGAGATATTTTTCTCTGCTGCGACCAAAGACTCTCAGCTTCCTCCTGCTCCACACGGACCTGAACTGAACACCTGATTGTTTAAAATTCAATGTCTCTCACTGATTTTCCGCCCAGAGAGAGACAAACTAAATCTGGGGTTCTTATCCAATGATTGTACTCAACAGTAACTTAAGAAAGGCTTCCTGAAATCATAACATATATTCTCAAAACATAAAGTTTTATCCAATGTTATCCAATACTTCACTGATTGCAGCCCTTACTGTTGAGTAGAATTGTCTCAGATAATTAATAATCAACAGAATCTGTTTTTACCTCTGGTTGAATCTAAGATGGTAGTCAAAGATTGGAGATCTGGCTAAATTTCAACCAAATCAGGTAAGATGAGGTCTTTCCTGCCTCAGCGGGAGGAAATATTACACCAAACGCCACCAAGTGGTCAGAGCAAGAACTGCTGATGTCAAAATGACCAGTTGCTTTCAGATAAAAAAAAAAAAAAAGCAGTCAAATGAGGAGAATATTCTTATAATATAGACCCCGCTGAGGATAGTGAATGAGAACCTAAGGAAGAACCAATTCTGCTGCCTTAATTATTAGAATTGTCTAACAACATCTTTAAATGTTGGCGGCAATTATGTGGCAAAGTTCAAGGTCTGTGGAAATGTATGCAACAAATCTACAGTTAGTAGATGCTCTTCATCAGCAGGAGGAGGAGGAGGCAACTACAGATCAAATCATTTTATGAATTCAGCTGTATTTTTCATCTACCATGACTCTGAGAAATAAAGAATATATATCTGAGGCTCTGCAAACTTTTATTGAGCCCAAACTTTTTGTTCTGATGAAATGTATAAAAATAATCCAACCAAACAAACTGTGTGCCTGATTCTTCTTGATAATTGTTTTTTTTTTTTATAATATTTTTTTTTTTGTGACGCAAATAAAGCACATCACCAAGTAAAGCTCCAAATAAACCCTAAAACAGGGGCAGTGTCCTCCAAGCTGACTGGAGCCGGTTAGCATGCAGCAGCATGGGGGGGGTGCAGGGAGAGGTCACCGCGCTGCTTGGAGGAGCTGCCCAGCAGCTCATCTGGGTTCACTGGAGCAGACAGGAAGGGAGTAAAACAAAGAGAAAAAAATCTGTTTATTGGACTGACCGTGTTTTTGTTTTTCTAGCTCAAAGGAACAGCGGCGCAAAAAGGTGAGGAGAAGCTGAGGTTTTAATTCTCTGGAGGTTCAAATTGTGTGTGAGCTAAAATTAGACCCGACCTCATGTGCAGACTCAGATCCTTCTGCATCATATCAAACCGCTTCAGACTCAGAGAGACTGACTGCTTATGGTGACTCAGAATCATTTAGATTCAAGCCCAGACTTTGACTAGACCACTAGACCAGGCTTTCACACAGGACCATCAGGAAATTCTTAACCAGATGGGCTTTCATAGAAGACCCAGACTCTCTGGTCTAAAACAGACTGGACCAATCAGGAGGGAGCTGAAGCTTCAGCCAGAATTACCCATAATGCCACAGCTGTTTTAAAGATGCCCTTTTGAGCAGGATTCATCTTTAAAATTGGCTGCTTTAAAAACACATCCCCTCCTTTTCTGACTCTCCTTGTCCCGCCTTTATCGTCAGTTTCTGCCACCTCCTGGTTCCAGTCCTGTTCTGTCTGGGTTTGGAGCTCTGGAGAACTTGGCTGGTTCTTGCCGAGTCTGGGACGTAGGATACGTTCACACTGCAGGCCTTAATGCTCAATTACGATTTTTTGTGTTGCCGTTCACATTTCCAAATATATGCGACTTGTATGTGATCTCCTATGTGAACTGCAGTCATAAAATGCAAGTGTCCCGCATGCGCAGTAGAGCTCTGTGTTTACAGAAGTAAACATGGATGGTAGTGCCGGAGCACATCTAGCGGTCTTTCCCAACCGCAAAAACACAATCTTTTCAAGATGGTTAAACATAAATAGTGCTCTCCGCATCATCGTCCGCCATGGTTGTTGTTTTTCTTGCTGCTTCCTTATAGCAACATCCAGAAAGGTGACCTTTGTCGGGTATTAATGGCGTTCAGGTCGGATGAATGCGACCTGGCCGTTCAGACACAGGTTGCAGCTGAAAAGATCAGATTTGTATTGGATTCAGGACCACATAGCCAAGTGGCCTGGATCGCATTGGAAAATATCGGATCTGTGCTGTTCAGACTGTCATGAAAAGATCAGATACAGGTCCTATATGGGCCAAAAAAAGAAATCGGATTTGGGTCACTTCCGGCTGCTGTGTGAACTTAGTCTTAGGCCCCGTCCTAAGACTAAGTTGACTTCGTTTTGACTTCGTTTTGACTTCTTAGGAAACGCTAATATTTTCCAGAACGTTTGTCGTAAAGACGGAGACGTAAAATAAATGTGAGCGTCCACACGAATGCATGAAAACGCTGCAAAATGTATGCCAGGCCTGTAAGTGGCGCTGTGGTGCCAAAGCAAAAATAGGCGACGAAATGTTGGGCATGCGCACTTATATTTATACATGGTTGCCCTGCGGGTCCATTTTCGTAGTTCAGTCAAATTCAGGTGCTAAACTATGTGGTCGATATTGCTCTGTTCTTCCTGGAGATATTCCAGAAGAAGAAGATTCTGTTGTAAGCCCGACAGCAGGGTGAGTAGCATGAGCAGCAACCATTCAACACAGTACGGCGCCATTGTAGTTGTGATACTGTGTCGCGCATGCGTGTTTAGAGGTGACGCTATGACGCATGCGTGTAAAAAAAAAAAAATGCGGTTAGAGCTTAAAGATGGAAACGCGAAAACGGCGTTTCAAAATCTTCCCACTCTGAAGGCTGAATAAAAAAAAGATCGTTTACAGACCCCCGAAACGCCGGCTTCGTGTGGATGAGAAGCTGGTCTGGTGAAAAATTTGTGCATTTAGGCCAGGGTTTGACTTCGTGTGGACGGGGCCTTAGTTTCTCATTTTGAATTTTCTACAAACCCTGGCCTACTTCACACTGTCAGACTGGTTCAGAGGACTGGGTTTTACCCCCCCCTCCCAGAGCCAGGTGTCTGGTTATTGGTAGCCAATGGCACCAGGGGGGTTAGGACAATGACAAGCAGCTTCACTAATCCTTTAATCAGGTGGTTTGCTTTGGCCGAGTGGCCAAGGAGAGGCTGATGATGGGGGGGGGGGGGTTGGCACTGTAAGGGTCAACCAAGGGACACTGAGTTTCCATCAGTGGCTTTAATAACAGAGACGCCTGCTCTGCTGCTAAAGCACCACCCCCACCCAGGCTTCTACCTGTCTAAATAAAACATTTCCATGAGGCCCTAAATGTGGTTCATGAGTTGGATATCTTCAGCACACCGGCTGGTTCTGAGGCCCGGAATGAACCCTGGGAATAAAGAAGGCTGAACCATTCAGTTCAGATTAAAATCCTGGTTAAACACAAACGTCTGGTTTCATGGAGCAGATCTGACGTCTAAAGCAGACTCATAGTGTCACTAACAACCCGACTGAACCCCAGTCGGCCTCGGCAGATGGCCGCTCACACTGAGCCTGGTTCTGCTGGAGGTTTCTTCCTGTTAAAAGGGAGTTTTTCCTCTCCACTGTCGCTACAAGCATGCTTAGTGTGGGGGATTGTATTTGAGTCAATGAGTCAATGCAATCAACTGGTTTTCCTTAGATAGAAAACTTTGTATCAATTTGACTGTATGATCTGGTTGAACTGTAAAGTGCCTTGAGATGACATGTGTTGTGAATTTGGCGCTATATAAATAAACTGAATTGAATTGAATTGAATTGAACTAACGGTCAGAGAAGTTTCCTGCAGTCCAGGACAGCAGATTGATATTCAGATTCATATGGAGTGTGATGGCTCTCATTATTGTTGCAAAGAAATTTAGAAATAAATTTAAAAAAAATTTAAAAAAAATTAGGAAAAAAGACAATCCAGAAATTAAACTATAAAAAAAAACTACTGAATCCAAAAATCTTTAAAGAGAAACTCAGAGCTGCAATCATCTCTTCAACTTTTTAAGTTATGTTTTTACACATATTTTGAAATTTTATGTGTCCAAACTTTTATTTTTTACAGATTTAATAAAAAAATAAAAAAATCTTGTTTTTAAATTGCATTTCACAGATCACATTCTCTCTACTTCCAACGCAATTCAACCGTTCATTCTGGACCAATAAGAGGTTGTCGCTAACCTCCAGCTGACCAACAGAAATGCGTTTTTGCTCCTCATTCCAGAGGAATAACTTTTTTCCTTTTAATATTCATTCTTTGCTGAATA